GCCAAGAGTCAATTATTTAAATTCATCATTTACTACTAAACATCTATCAACCTTGTCAGATATTTCATATGGTGGCTCTTTTTGTCAGGTTGTGATTTTTTGTAATCTATAAAAAGAACAGTTTTCCATGAGAGGAGATGATTAACATTTAATAGGAATTTATTCTTACACTTAAAATATGATGATGGAATCAGCAGACCTTTAGTTAGAAGCTTCATTGGATTGTAGTTGCAACTAATATATATTGTATCAAGATTTAAAACTTCTATTCTTATCATAGACAGTATGAGGAGTTGCTGAAAAGGATGTGGCATAACCAAGCAAAAATGAAAAAACTAATTTGACATTACTGTAAAGGATATATTCATATTCAAAATCTTTGCACCCTCCTATATATATATATATATATATATATATATATATATATATATACACACACACACACAAAAGTGGGTGGTAACAAGTTGTCAAATAAGATTGACCTACATGCTATTCCACATGTTCAATAAATTTGGCACATCATTTTCTTTAACCCATATAAAAATTTCAAAAAGTTTTGAAGTGCATCAAGTCAAGCATGTTTATTTCCTTTAATATACAACTTACAGTTGAACATGGACAGACACACAACACTGCAATGTCACTAGCCAATAGTAAATAAAAAAAGTGAGTTGATATATGCCAAATACTTTATAGCCAAGTTTTATGTGCATCAGAGCAGGCTGATCTTTCTGCTTCTTTATCTGCATTTTGGGAAATTAGTTTCCTGAGAAATCTTGGTAAATGGACCTTAACATAACAGTGTCAGAATGTACTTAAACAATACATTACACATATAGGCCTCCTAGTTTAAGACCTATCTGCCTTTACACTTCCCATTGTTGATAAATATACTAGATTTCAATTCTAGCAATTTGTATTTTGGATAGGTAGAACCTAAATAAAAATGTCAAGCTTTAGTTATTTTTAAAATAAAATTCTGTAAATAAAAAATAAAAGTTAATGATCTAAACCTCATTTTTTAAAGTTTTCACCTAAATGTCAAGGTAAAAGGAAAGGGCAAAGCAGAAAGATTAGAAAATGGGGGGGGACAAGACTCATCTTGATTAAGAATTGCTATGATTAAGAATTGCTATGATTAAGAATTGCTATAATTATATTTGCAACCAATTCATGTTGTGTAACATCTTCAATTCTGTAGAATGGCACAGCGGTTAGAGCCAGGATAGTGACCAAGCCAAGAGACTAAGGTGTCGCTGACCAATGGTCTATGAGAATTAATATAAAATTTGTGCAAAGGATCTCAAAAATGAAAATGTCTTATCAGATTATAATTTATAACATTTGTAATTAACCAATGACGTGTTAGTAGTTTGGTGACATAATACTTTCAGTATCGGCAATGCCTTATGCTTCAGAATACTTTAGATACATCAGGTTAGACTGTCTGAAAATTTATATTAACAATATTGCTGAAATGAGCTAGTAGCCCTAAATAAGATAATGACACATACACTTTTGCTGAAGCAGTCGGTATTTGGAAAGGATTATATAAGAATTTTGTCAAAGATCCTCACAAAATAGAACAGAAAACAAAGAATGGAAAAGATACAATGAACTCATGACCTTGTTAACACTCCAAAGCAAGAAGTAAATACTGCAATGAAATATGTCAATGAGAAATATTCCTTACTTGTTTCCATTATCATGAAGGTGCAAGCAAAGTATTTTCCCTTCCTTTGTGGACACTGTAAACAAGACTGTATCAGCTATCAAATGATGCAATTTACATACAAGTGTGTTAAACAGAGATAGATTAACTGCAGGAAAACAACTCCTGTCATCAGTAGCCTCATCTTATAGCATTTACAGGTTTCACTGAACATATGGATTTATTCTAAAAGAGAAACTTTCTTGATATCGATAAAGCAGCAAATCTTGTATTTCTGCTTTGTGCATATGCTGAATATTTCCAATATATTATAGTATAATAAACAAGACATTTTTTTTTTAATCCAGAGAGATTTAATTATAAAAATGGTATTGCCATCATGAAAAAGTTCCAACTGGTGATTTGTTTGGTTTATTTAGGTTTAACAGCATATCAAACTTGAAAGGTTATTTAATGCCTACTAGTTTTTCCCGATAGGTTCACATGAAGAGAGTATGTCTTCCTTACAAGAAATCACTTTGTAAGATCAGTTTTCATTGACGTGTCTTATAAAGCAACGTTTTGTCGAGCACTAAACGTATTGTTGATAATCACTTCTCCAAAAATATGTAATTGGAGATACTTTTCCTTCCAAATTAGTTTACTAGTTCAGCTAAGTAAATGAATTTAGTGAACTTTTTTTTTTTTTTTTTTTTTTTTTTAATTTTTCTGTAGATCCCAATTTCTTTAATGAAATTTACGATGTTACTTGGATTAGTATTTTCAAAAAGTTCCTTTAGGTTATCCGATTTGTAGTGTTTACTACAGAGTCGTCAGAGATTATGCCAATTTAGTAGGATGTGTTTGACTGTATAAGATTCCTGGCATGGGACACACATTAGAGGTATCTCATTTTTTAAGAGCTTTTGGTGGGTTATGTATGTGTGTCCAATATGGAGTCTGGCTAGAACCACTTCTCTACTTATCTTTCTGGAACATGCCAGTCTTTCACCGATGATAGGTTGAATGTTGAATAGTTTGTTGTTATCGCAGTTGTTCCATAATTGTCTTTAATGGCCCTGTTTATGCAGCATCTGAAGTCGGTGTGAGACTACATTACTTTAGAGGGAGCCATGTTCAGAGATTCCCTGGCCATTTTGTCCGCTTTTTCATTTCCAAGTATGCCAATATGGCACGGTATCCAGCATAGAAATATTACTGTATCTTTTTCCTTATAAATGGAGTCAAACCTATTTAATAGATTATTAATTAAGGGGTTTTTCATGTTTTTATTCTTCAAGGCTTAAGAACAGATAATGAATCTGAAAAGATGATGAATCTATCTGACTCACTAGATTTTATAATATCTAAAGCTAGATCTATGGCAGTGGCTTCTGCGCTGAAGATTGAGGCATTGTTGGGCAATCTTTTCTGAATTGTTATATTGTTCAAGTATAGCAGAATACCCCACTGTCCAACATTTTAGAACCATCTATATATATATATATATATATATATATATATATATATATATATATATATATATATATATATGCTTATAATTTGGGTGATCTTGTAGAACATTATGAATTTATTCTATATAATTATAAGTTAGAATTAATTTTGGAATATTTGGTAAGGTTTAACAAAACCGTAGGGTACTTCATTAACCAGGGAGGGTTTTTTGAGTTGTTGGATTTAATTGTGTTTCATTGACAAGCTTTTTCATGTAAAGTCCAAAAAGATTTGATAGCATTTTCTTTTTTATCGAAAAGAAATTCATATTTAGGGTTGAAGGTACAGTGATATACAGGGTTAGTAAACGTACCTTAGTGCCACCTTCCACCATTTTACAACTACACACAGTCCCAAACTGGTGATTGGAAATGCATTTTTAATTTAGGATATCTTATACTTTCCTTGCTTCCGGAAGTGACAGATGAATAACAAATTATAATTACAAGCATTAATCTATTGTATTAATGAAATCCAATAGGAATAATAAAAAAAAAAAAAAAAAAAAAAATTCAAAATGTCACTGAATTGTAGTTTTCAAGAAAAAGGAAAATTGGTATATAGAGAAAATACTATCAATGATCCAGAATTTCAGTTTTGCCCCTCATTGTGCCAAATCAGTCTACCAATACATGTGAAATATGAATGTCACTTCCTTTAAGTTTGATTCACAAAATAATTTTAAATTGTAAGTTTTAGTTAAAAATTGATGTTGATTTCTACCACACCCTCAAGTCACTTCCACTCAGTATCTCAGTGATAGATAATAATTCTAGTTTACTGTAGACTCAAAGCTCATTACTTATGGTAAACAAACTCACATTTAGCAGAAAAAATGTTTGAGAAAATGGCAAACATCCAATAAAATTAAACATGGCAGTTTTATTTTGTTCATCTGAAAGACAGGCATACTGATTGGTTATCTTGGTATGAATATTAATTTACAAAGGTGGGGACAGATGCTAAGAAATTCTGAAAACCTACAAACCAGGCATCAGAATTATTTTGGAATCTGTTGATAAGCAAGCTGGGTTTAGTAAGATTCTGATTGTTAATATTACATTAACTATTGGAAGTCAATGATACTGTTCATTTATTTATACTACCTTTTTATTATAATTGCTATGTTAAACAAGATCACAAAAGTCTTTCTAGAAAATATTAAGAGCTATAGTAATCATTAAATTGCTAAAAAAAACAGACCCTGCAGGTTAAAAATGGTGGTTTCTTAATTTATTGGAAAGCAGAATTTTTGAAAGACTTAAAAAGTTAGTTTTGAGAAACAGGAAAGAAAGGCAACATCAAAAAATTTCTAATTTAAAAAGATTAGGTTTTCTTTCATTATGAAATTTAGAAGCTATAATAAAATAACTTTTGAGCACATCTTCAGTTGATTATTATATGTGGCTGAAGTTGACAGCTGTCTCCTGGTTGATCTATTTTAAGTCACCTTTGGGCAAGGTCTATATCCTTTAAATAATCCTAACATGGAATGACAGCAATGGAAGTCTTTATTTTATAATTAGAGAATTATAAAAAAAAAACAAAAAAAAACCCCAAAGATTATCAGATTAGCAACTTTTTTCTTTAATAATAAATAAAATATTTGCAAGATATTACATGCACACATATACACACACAACCTTCTTTAAAAGAATCTGTTGAATTTGGAGTGAGAAGTAAAGGGATTCTAAAAGCAATATATATAATTGTTACAAAAAAGCAAACATTAAAATTAGGGGTATTAAACAGCATTAAATGTTGGACAATCTATACAAAAAGCCACATGTTCAGAAGGTAAAAAAAAAAAAAAAAAAAATGACAGAGTCCTTACTTTCATATTCTTGTTTGCCAGCATCACTATCACATGTGAAAAAGGTTTGATGGTCTTGTGCTGAAAGATTCATATCATAATATGTCAGAGGTTCCTTATCAGTCTCCCAGGTAAATCGTTGGTACTCTGCCCCACGGAGCAGATTCAAAGGGTTCCGCCAAACTTTACATTCTAGATAAAGAAGGGAGAAAAAAAAAGCACACAAAAAAGTATTCAAAGAACAAGCAAAGTAGCACGAAAAAAATGTCAACAGAAGACAAACACTTGGCAAATGTTTAAAAAGCAGAAATGTTATCTTGAATTTTTATAAGATGAAACACTGATTATTATTTCTTTCATCTTAATTTTCAGAAAGAAAGAGTATATGGTGAGACTTGAGTCCATATCCCATTTACAAAGTGTATATATCTGCTGTTCTATTGCTTGAACTACGAGATAAACTGGTGCAGAAGATTTAATCATATAAACTTATTTTTAAACACTAAATGCCACCATATTGGATATTTTGGTTTTTACATATATTACTAGTAATATCTTGAATTACTATTAGTAGCTGAAGCATTGTGAACCATTATTAAATTTTGGAAGCAGCTGTATTAATGACAAAAAAGAAAAAAAAAATGTTTAAATATGAGAAATAAAAATTTCAGTAAAGTACTTATGAGTAATCTTTTCTGATTCTTAACATTTTTTCAATAATGCATCTATTTTTTTTTTTTTTTGTGTTTCAGATTTAGATCCAAGCCTAAAATATTTACACAAATTGTATATCAATTTTTGTACAAAAATTAAGCCATCAGTGTTTTTCAGGTCAAAAGCAGACATTGCTTATTAAGAAAAAAAAAAAAAAAAAAATGAATTTCTATTTTACATTATTCGGACTATTGTCCTCATCTTTGTCGCCATATTACAATGTTTCAGCCGTTGTACACTCCAGCCTTCTTCAGGTGGTTGGAATGTCGAACTGAACCCTTTATTACGTTCACATTTATTTCTAGTTCCACATGCCATGTTTAATGGATGTCAGTTATCAGATTTCCCTCTGAAAGTTCTCCACTGTCTTAACTGGGTATTGAACTCACACTCTTTTGAGTCCTGTCACTGGATCTAACCAACGCATTTATCCACTGGGCCATGTGTCCTTTATCCATTTTTATGAAGACACATGGCACAATGGGAAATTAACAGGATATAACTGACATCCATTAAATATAGCACGTGGAACTAGAACAGTCTACCCCAGTGAACGAAATAAAGGGATAAGTTCGACATTCCAACCACCTGAAGATGGCCGGAGCTTGCAACAGCCGAAACGTAATAAATATCGCAACAAAGATGAGGACAATACTTCGAATAATGTAAATGATGTACATAATATCTCATCTCAGAAACAGACAGATTTCTATCCAACATAAAAGCAAGTACATTAACATTTTGACTTTTCCATCTATATTATTTTAAAAAGCTTGCAATCAAAAACCAAAAACAACTAAAACAAAACCTAAAAAAAAAAAAAAAAAAAAAAAAGAACCCCAAAAAAAAAAAAAAAAAAAAAAAAAAAAAAAAAAAAAAAAAAAAAAAAAAAAAAAAAAAAAAAAAAAAAAAAAAACAAAAACAAAAAATAAAAACAAAAAAAAAACAAACCATAAACAAAAACAAAAAAAAAACAAACCATAAACAAAAACTAAAAAAAACAAACCATAAAAAAAACAAAAAATAAAAAAAAACAAACCATAAACAAAAACTAAAAAAAACAAACCATAAACAAAAAAAAAAAAAACCAAATAAAAAAAAAACAAAAAACAAAACCATAAACAAAAAACAAAAAAAACAAACCATAAACAAAAACAAAAAAAAAAACCATAAACAAAAAACTAAAAAACAAAACCATAAACAAAAAAAAAAAAAAAAAAAAAAAAAAAAAAAAAAAAATTATAAAAAAAATAAAATAAAAAAACAAACCATAAACAAAAACTAAAAAAAAAAAAAAAAAAATAAAAAAAAAAAACCATAAACAAAAACTAAAAAACAAAAACCATAAACAAAAACTTAAAAAAAAAAACCAAAAACAAAAAAAACAAAAACCATAAACAAAAAAAAACAAAAAAAACTTTAAAAACAAAAAAACCATAAACAAAAAAAACAAAGAAAAAAAATCATAAACAAAAACTATAAAAAAAAAAAATAAAATAAAAAAAAACAAACCATAAACAAAAAAAAAAAAAAAAAAAAAAAAAAAAAAAAAAAAAAAAAACAAAAAAAAAAAACAAAAACTTAAAAAAAAAAAAAAAAAAATAAAAAAAAAACAAAAAAAAAACAAAAAAAAAAAAAAAAAAAAAACAAAAAAAAAACCATAAAAAAAAAAAAAAAAAAAAAACTAAAAAACAAAAAAAAAAAAAAAAAACCAAAAACAAAAAAAAAAAAAAAAAAAAACCAAAAACTTAAAAAAAAAAAAAAAAAAAACTTAAAAAAAACTAAAAAAAAACCAAAAAAAGCAAAAAAAAAAAAAAGCAAAAACTAAAACAAAAAAAAAAACTAAAAAACAAAAACAAAAAAAACTAAAAAAAAAACTAAAAACAAAAGCAAAAACTAAAAAAAAGCAAAACTAAAACAAAAAGCAAAAACAAAAGCAAAAAAAAAAAGCAAAAAAAAAAAAGCAAAAAAAATAAAAGCAAAAAACTAAAAAAACTAAAAGCAAAAAACTAAAACAAAAGCAAAAACTAAAACAAAAGCAAAAACTAAAACAAAAGCAAAAACTAAAAACAAAAACTAAAAAAAACAAAAACAAAAAAACAAAAACAAAAACTAAAAAAAACACAACAAACAAACAAAAACTAAAAAAAACACAACAAACAAACAAAAACTAAAAAAAACACAAAAACAAACAAAAACTAAAAAAAACACAAAAACAAACAAAAACTAAAAAACACAAAAACAAACAAAAACTAAAAAACACAAAAACAAACAAAAACTAAAACACAAAAACAAACAAAAACTAAAAAACACAAAAACAAACAAAAACTAAAAAACACAAAAACAAACAAAAAATAAAAAACACAAAAACAAACAAAAAATAAAAAACACAAAAACAAACAAAACCTAAAAAAAAAAAAAACACAAAAAAAACAAACAAAACCTTAAAAAACATAAAAAAAAACAAACAAACAAAACCTTAAAAACATAAAAATAAACAAAACCTTAAAAAAAAACACCAAAAACAAACAAAACCTTAAAAAAACACTAAAAACAAACAAAACCTTAAAAAAAAAAAAAACACTAAAAACAAAAACTACAAAAACTAAAAAAAAAAAACAAAAACTAAAAAAACCCACAAAAACAAAAAAATAAACTGTGTCTCCTGGACACAATATTCTCCTCTTCAACGTAATAAGCAACATGAAAAGCCACTCAATTCTGGACACAAGTTGCACAAAACAATGAAAATAACAAAACTTAAAATTCTAACCGATTCCAAAATGAGGTGCCAGGTAAAAATCCTTGAAACATTAGACAAAGATATACATAGAGGATACATTAACTAAGCAAAAGCAGCAGTTGAGCACATCACATTTAAAAGCAAAGTGATCAACATTTATTAAACAGTTTCTGTGTAGAAGAATTGGGATAAATTTTGAAGAGGCAAAATATTAAAATTTATTTAAATCCAGTTAAATCTTATTAAGTCCAATATTTATTTCATTAAATTTAAGTTTTTTGTTTCATGGGTAAGTAAATATAGAAGTATCAAGTAGCTAAAACGTTCAGTTTGGTAAGTAGAAATAAGGTTTTTATTAACATTAATCATTTACTGTTTATGGTAGTTAATTTTTCTAACTAAATCATGCCATTCTCTAAACTTTATCTTTCTCATCAAACAACTGAGCTATTTGCTTTGAAGTTCTCTATAGAATTTAATTTTCATTAAGAGAATTCCATCAAGAATGATATGTCAGTCTGAAGGTGCAATTTATTTAGTTACACTAAAGCATGTAGTTTATTATTGATGGAATATACCATTTCTGTTTATTGGGAGAAATACTTTTTCAGCTCAAACATTTGCTTCTCCAGGACATTAAATTCCCATTCATGTGCTTCCATGTTGCCCTTGTTCATAGCATGTCCTTTGTTTTCACTTTCTATTATCTACAGGATGATGGTATCATAATTTTTGACAGAAGAGTAGAGAAAATTGATGATATTCTCTCTGATCCCCCCTCTTTAGCTACCATTTCAATATTCATCATAAGGAATGGTTAGTATACTCAAACATAACGAAAGCAAATACAGTCAGGACTTCTCCATCCTGGCCCACATTAGGGATAAGTTTACTTGTGTATAGCTAAGCATTATGCTAACCTTTCTCTCCTGTCCTGACAAATGCTCTGCTAAAGTGTTTAACTTCTTGTAGATGTAGCCTCATTGAAAGTACAACTATTCCTTATGACTAGAAAAAAAACTCAAGGACTGCTCTATGATGATGAAATGTTACTAGTTTTGGTTTTAGGGGTATTGGATTTTACAAACCAGTCAGTCTACCATTGAATTGTGCAAGCAAGGTCAGATTCACATAAATCATGGTGTCATCATCTGCATATATATATATTTATTCATAATCTGAGACTCTTAAGCAGATTGTTAATATAAAGTAGAACAAGGATAAGACTGAGGATAAAGCCTTGGGGACACCTGCATTAATCTCATGGACTTCAAAAAGGACTAGCCATTAATGATGAACTTCATGAACCTACACAATAGGAAGGACTTGATAATCAGGAAGTCTCTCCCAGAAATGACATAGCTAGTGAGTTTGTGTAGCAGTCACCTCTGCCACACTTTGCCAAAAACTTTCGAGATATCTAAGACAACTGCTCTCATGATGGATTTATTATCAAGAATTTCACTGATTCTCTACTTAATGACGGTCAAGACATCAGCAGTGAACCTAGAGGATTGAAAACAATGCTTTTTGTCACTCAGAAGGTTGTTTCTGTTAACAGGATTGACAACCTTGTTGATGATAGTATCAGCAAACTTAGTGAGATAGAGTAATATTTTAATGGGGTCAAGTGCTCACCGACATTTTTGTAAACTGGGCATACAACTGACACTTTCCATAGATTTGGGAACATTTCTCTTTAGGACAGTGATTAAATAATTTTTCCAAAATTGGAGATAGCTCTCAGCTAAGGGGTTTTAAGAACTGCAGGAATTTTATCTGGACAAATAGAGTCAAAGCTTTTTATAAGTCTGAAAACCTGTGAAAAGACAGATATTGCAAAGTTTGTACTGCATTACATTACCTGCATGTTCAAAATCTTTCAGGGGCCAACCAATTCATATCCTCATATGTACCTCTTCTCTTGCACCCTTCCTTCACGACCTTAAAACAACCTCATTTAGTATCCCTCTACCTCAAGTAGATATTGAGCCTTGTATTGAGTAAACAAAGAGCACTGAAAAATTCTATGCAAATTACAAAATTTATTCACTGTAAAGTTGTAAATGTTTGAAATATTATAAAAAAGTGTTAACCCTAAATTGTATCATTTGTATTATCTCCCTTTAAACAAATGAATCCAGTAAATTTCAGTTTGCTCCTGGGTAGTTGATGCAACAATAAAAATTCAGCTAATGGAAATTGAGCAAATACAGATTTAGGCCCAAAACTTGAATGCAGTTATAAATTTGTGTGAAACAATGAAAATTTCACAAGTGTATCAGTAATAGAGGAAAAAAAAAAAAAGTAAATTCAATTAATTCAGTCTCAATCTGACATGTGGGTCATTCCATGTCAATTCACCAGGACATTACACCCACTGACACCGAATTTCTTAAAACTTTGGCACAAATGTTCCCCTTCATGAGTTAGGAAAGTGTACTAAATTATTTTGTGCTAGACTTTACTGTTCCAATTTTAAAAGGGGGGTGGAAATCTTGGAAATCCTGCACATACATAGGAAAAAAAACTCTAAACTTGGCAGGGTCATATCTTCTAAAGTAGACTTAAAACCCTGACAAAACTTAGGTGAACTTGAGTAGGCATTGTAGATGTTAGGCAAAAAATATTATGAAAATTGAAGAGGACATATTTTCGATAGACTGATCATAAGCTACAGAGGTGAAAAGTTGTTGATTTTGGGGTCATGTATTTGGGTGAGTAAAATAACATTTTCTATCAGGCTTAAATATAATCTTTAGGCTTAAAATAGTTAAATATTTGTATTCTACACTTCTTATTTGCCCTACATACCAAATTTCAGAAATATTGAAGGTATGGAAGTATTTTTCTTTAATTTTTAGAAAAACACCAAGATTAGGCTACGTTGTGCGGCCTTAATTTAAAGGTAAAATAGGAAAATTATACCCCCCCTTAAAATTGGAACGGTAAAGTCTAGCACAAAATAATTTGGAACACTTTCCTAACTCATGAAGGGGAACATTTGTGCCAAAATTTTAAGAAATTTGGTGTCAGTGGGTGCAGATTTCAACTTTTTGCTGGTGTTTAGATATGGAATGATCCATGTGGTAAAGTTATTGTTGCTAAGGATAGTAGTCAGTCATTGGAATGCAAAATGATATTAATAAAAATTTATAAACTTTAGTGCACAGTCAATCATTGTGGCAGGCTTTAAGAAGCCAGTGTTGATGGTCTGTTCAATAAATGTTCAGATCATTTATTGTTTTGATGTGATGAATGACCCATGGACAAAGCGCAGGTATCTTACAAATAAGAGGGGACAAGGATCAGCAATTGTACAATCAGCAATAGACATATTTTTACCTTTAACAATAAAAGAAACTTGTTATCTGAACAAAAATTGGGATAATCTACAGAAGAGAATCTTAATTTTGGTATGTTAACATAAGAATATACACAGGAATAAAGCAGAAGAGGAAATGGAGCACAAAAGCATTAAGCAAGCTTCTGCCTCTGGCCTACCACTGACAGAATGATATGAAATTAGAGATTTATTGTTTACACCTACTTGAATATTTAGTGGAGTACCCACCTGGTACTGACTGTTGTTGGCTGTTGCTGGAGCCACTGTCATTGGAATTACCATCATTATTGTTGCTGTTACCGCTGCTGCCACTGCTTCCCCCTAGAAGAGGGGAAAGGTGGTTCAGAGAAACTTGTTCAATGAATGATGTACCATACTTTTTAAAGTACCACCATTCAAATATCTGGAAAATAAAAAAGAAACTATCAAGAAATGTCAAACTTTCAGCTGTGAGCTTAAACAAATTTCTATACTAACAAAAATTAATTTCATTAGAATCAACCTATTATTTTTCTAGACTTATAATTACAGAGGCAGACTTCCCAATGTTAACTGGAATTAAAATGTTAATTTATAAAAAGCCAAACCTCTACCAACATAAAAGAAAATGCCATTCAAAGAAGTTTGATTCTAAATCATCAGCATTTATCTCCAAGCATATGGTAATATTTAAGCCTCAGCTGTTAATGAGTATACAACTTATCTTAATTATGAATGACTAGGAAAAAAAAAAAAAATTTAAATTTATATCAATATCTAGAAGTTTAAAGATACTTGTACATATTCAAAAAATTAAATTTCCAACAATTTTCATTTCCAGATGACAGCTATAGATAGACGCAAACTAAATTACAGTGGACATCTTTTTAAATTATTATAGGATTTTTTTTGGCGGGGGGAGTACCTTTGGTATTAGTATTTAGCATTAATTTATCATAACTTCCACCAACACTGAAAAAACAAGTTTGCTTTGTTTATCTTACACCATTATATATATATATATATATATATATATATATATTTTCTGAATTCTTATCCTACATAGTGTTGGTTAAAAACAATTTCTTGAATAGGTCAATAATTTTTCAAAATTTCTTATTAAATTCATTTAAATCACAAATTAAATCTCAAAAATATGATCAAATGAATTTATGAAAATGTTTCATGTTAGAATTTTAGATAATTTCCACATTATGACAAATTGTATTACTACTGTGGATCTATCAAAGAGCAGCAAAGTACATGAATATTTTTCACAAATTTATTTATTTATTTTTTTTTTTTTAAGATCTTGAAGAGTTTTTATAAAATGTAAAAATGTAAATTTTGAAATGGATGTTTGAAATCATGATTTTTTTTCCCTGTAATAATCAAGTAAATAATTGCAGTTATACTCAGAAAGTGCAGAGATCACTTGTGAACTTTCAAACCCATTCATCTCTTTCAAACATCCATTAGAGCACATTTTCAAGACTTTTCCCCAAATATACATTTTTATATAATCTATGCATACACAAGCCATTTATACAAACCTATTTTATCTATTTTATTGTTGTCAAGTGGTTGTAATAAAACAGTGAATGCATCAAAATATGAATGTACATTATCAAGTGTCATTTGCATTTTTAACTTGTATAAATTAATTAACTATAAATATTACTTGCATTATTCAAACTGTTGTCCTCATCTTTACTGTCATATTCAAAACATTTTGACCATTGTACACTCAGGCCCACTTCAGATGATCAGAATTTTGAACTGAACCCTTTATTTTGTCCACTGAGGTAGATTGTTCTAGTTCCACATGCCATCCTTAACTATCTCAGTTATGTCCCTTTAACTCAATTTTCCAAGTTTTTTTTCACCATTGCAGTAGCCAGGTATTGGACCCACAACTGAGTCAAGTCACTGGATCCTTGAGGTTGGTTATAGATATTCAAAATATATTGAAATAACTTTTTTTTTTATATAAAAAAAAAAGAATTCAACAAGGGTATTACTGTAGAAAAATGCATTATTGCAGTTGAGCAATCCTGAAAAGCAAAAGCTAGGTTTCTACAACCCCAACCTTGAATTCCTTTTTAACTACTTTCATCTAACAACGGGAATGTAGTTAAATTCCAACAAATCCCTTATAGCCCATATTTATAAACAGCCTGTTATTGGACATTTATCAAAAATACTGACAAATAGATTTAAGAAGTACAAATAATTTGATATCTGCATTAAGGTATCATATTCAATTAAAATCAACAGCCTATTATTTAGAGAAAAAAAATTGTTGATATGGAAGCAGATTTGGTTAACAAATTAAGAGATTAATTCAATTAAAAGTTATCTAATTTGTATTTCTGTTAATTGAATTAAAAGTAATTGCCCAAGTGAAGTCTATTAGCATTCTACAAAACATTCAATCTCCAAATGTAAGCAAAACTCAGTCAATTATACTCATTTAATCAGCTAATTGATTTAGAAATTATCCAACTTCACAAATCTAGATATTTGAAATACATTCATTCAGCTCAGATACAACCTTTAGTGCTATGAACAATGCAAATAAAAAAAAAGAAAAGTGAGGGATATGGCTCAGCTGATAAAGATGCTATTTTTGCAAAAATTTATGATAGAAACAGTTCATCCAAAGTATGATCCTACTGGGATTTAAGGCAAGGAACTTTTATGTTCAGTTATTTTGAAATAAACAATTTCATTCAAATGATGATTTGACCCAATGTTTAAAGACTGACAGCAGGAAAAAAATCAGTCAAACTTAAACACAAAGTACCCATTTGGGAAGGTGTAGAAAGCTTTCAAAAAATAAATGAAGTTGACCATAAGTGATTGGTTCATATTTAATTCAACAATGTCCATAAATACTAAATTCTAATGTTCATTAAGTCCTAAATTCTATTCTCCAATGTAGTCTTCAATTAGCTCTTCACAAGTTCTTTTAATAGCAGAAGTGACAGACATCATGGGCTAATATCATATTTGATGTAAATATTTGCAAGAGAAGATTTTCATGCAGACATACAGTCACTTAGATGCAAACTCCTTTTTCATATTTTGAGAACAGTTACATCCTCAAATCTCCAGATTCTCCCATTTTGGAACTCTGAAGAGGATAGTAAAAAATTTGTTACACAAGTGATAAAAAATGAAAGCTTATACTTTGAGGGATGAAACTCACCATTCAAGGAAACAAAGTTATTTGAAAGACTGAACAGAAAATAGCAGACAATTTACTTAGGGAACCACAAGAGCAAAAAATAAATCATAAATGAAAGATTCTTCCAACAATATTAAATAGAATATTTTAAAAATCTGCTCAAAGAATCAAATCTCCCAATACAAAACAATGTTTACCACTAAAAAACAAACCTATGATTTGCTAACTTTATAAAAGCACATGCCACCAGGTCTTAATTTTTGTCTTAGTGCTAGACAGGTAACATTTACTATAAGAGTGGAAGATCCAATATAGATAGAAAAGAGGGAAAAAAAAAACAAAAAAAAAAAAAACAAACATTTGTTGTTAATGAAAGCTTATTGTAAGGATACTGAAAATGGATTCAATGAGTTAAAAAGAAAGAAAATTATCTAGCACTTGAAAATACAGGATAAATCAAATGTCATTAGGACAAGAGAATAAAACTGATATATCACATCAAGTTAAATTTTAGCTCCTGATTTATGGACAAACAAAAATATTAAGAGAGGATTGATTATACAATATAAAAAAAAACAAAAACAAAAAAAAACAAACAAACAAAAAAGTGGCTCAATGAGTTGTCACTAACAACTAACAATTGATTAACCATAAAAAATCCTGAAGAACAAAGACCACTTCATTTTGTATGAATGCAGACAGTTGACTCAATCTTATAGTAAGCTCCTACATATCAATCTATTGAAATTCAAAAGACAGCATTACACTAAAGCCTACTCATATAATAGGTCATCAGATGTGCAGATTCCTTGTCAAGTCAGTAGCAGGTAAGTCCTATGTAAAGGAATGTTGCTCACTTTATGGAGACAAAGATGCTTTCATTCATTCCATATGGATGGTGAGTTTGGATGTTGTGAACATGTTCAATGTTTGCACAGATGAAGCTCTTATTAGATTTGAATATATTTGGGGAATTTCCAATTAGATTCAGAAAGAAAATTTGGGTATTAGTTCATTATCCCCAGTGCTGGAGAACCTATGGAATACTTCAAAGAAATAGAATACCACTAAAGCCATCTATGTGAAATATACAAATGACACCTTCATATATTTTGGCCTCACAAGAAAAATGTGCAAGTCCTGCTGAGCTATATGATCACAATGGAAATAGAACAAGTGACAAACTGATCTTCCTTTTTATATGTAAGTAAGTTGAACAGATTCAAGATGTATATCATGAGCCTTACTCATGAGACAATATCTGAATTTCAATTCCTTTAATCCATAAAGAGAGAGATTGTCAGCTGGCTACAGAATTAACTTAAATCAATTATAATCTGTAAGTGGTGACCTAGATACACAGCAACAGGAGATGATCAGCATTAAAACCTTCAAGACTAACAACTACTCTGCAAGTGTAACATCAGCAAGGGTATAACAGTTGAAGGCAGTAATCAGAAAACTAACATTTTGTCTAACTTAAATAAGTTTGGGGAAAAATCAGATCTGGTCTATACAACACTAGAAAGGTATTCAAAAGTAGTTACATCCTTTGGAAATATTTCTTCAAACCAGTTTTCCATCAGAAGGAAATATGACAAAGAACAGTGTATATTCCATTTTGGGCAATTATAGCAGAAAATACAAGGAGACAAATTGCCTCCTAAAATAGAGTTAGAGAAAAATCAGAATACCATATTTTGTGGAAAGACAGTGAAATCATGTACATAGCTGATCCTGTGTGTGTGTGTGGGGGGTAATGTGGTGGAAAGTCACCAACTTCTATAAAAGAAAGTCAGAATAATAGATATAAAACAATGACAGATATGGCAATTGAAAGTATTTGCCCAAATTCTATGCATTAATAATCTTAGTAAACTAAGCAGAGAAATTAAAACTATATAAGACCCTTTAATTAAAGAAGAACATTATACCAAAAACTCAAAAATTCCACAATCTAATCACAAGTAATACAAAAGTCATATGCTCTAGTTCAGTTGAAAAGACAGACAAGTGACATTAGGTTTAAAGTTCCCAGTTTCCATCACTAAATTATGCTACTGGATAATGGACTAGGATTTTGGTTACATGGTGGTTATGTGTTTAGTCCCTAGTTAGGTAATGCAAAAGAATCATATACTCTGGTTCAGTGGAAGTGACAATTTAATTAGGTAGAGTTAAACAATATAAAGCCATCTATTATGTACAATGGAATAAGAACAATCTATTCTGTA